GGGTAGGAATATATATCCGAAGTTTCAGCCCCCCAGCTTTCCTGGTTGCCGAGTTGAAAGTGGGTGTGCAGAATTTCTTGATGCGTTAGCATTACTGGCTTCTTTTATATCTGCAAGCATTGATTCTTTCTTCGTCACATGTTTTATCCAGCGCATTTATTTGCTGGACTCATTTTTGCAGACTGAAGCACTGCTGCAAGCAGCGAACGCAACGCTCAGTGAAAAAGCATCCGGTACTGCTGACATCGAGGGACCGAGTGCGATACACGTCGTCAAAAATGCACAGATACCACCATCGTGCTACCAGTCATTTCTGAAAAAAAGACGAGACATTGCGGGCTTCGTTCTTTGCCCGTTTGACCAACGCTATATCTACAAGTTAGTTTAGATTATGCAAGTCTTTTGCGTGATTAGGCGCCATGCAACATTTAAAATGCTTCATCACAGCACAAAACGCGTCCTCGTTACGGTTTAACGCGATTACAAGCAATAAAAAGCAGGAGCTCTGGCGACTTGCCCCCTCCTTCTTTCTTCCTTTTTCCCCTCCAGTGTTCTTGCCTTGACTTAAGGTTACCTTGTCACTTTGTTAATGAAGCGAGTCCGTTATAAAAATCCCTTTTTCTACAGCGTTGTTCTGCAATCACTGTACTAAGTCAACGATTAAAGGAAGCGTCGATAACTGCTGGATGAAGGCAGAGGCGTGACTGATGCTACCTGCCGGCAGTTGATAGTAGTAATGAGCTAGCTTTCATATAACAGCAGATTATATAATTTATGGTAACTCATTCCAGGCTCTATGTAACGATTACACACAGTTATGTATTTTTTTGTTTGGGAGTGAAGCAAGCCGTGAACCAGGAACTTAGGTTTTTCGGTTTGTGGGATAACAGTTACATAGAGCCTGGAAACTTTTGGTTACGGCATGTTCCACAAACATTCACCAGTACCGGTTGACTTAATTTTGAGTGCTTTTCATGCTTACATTTACTTGTTGCAGCCGGATAAATTCATTGACAGACCAAAATGTGTTCGGAAATGATACATCAGCACTGCGGGAACAGGTGATGGCCGCAGCAAATGCAGTCCTCGGTGCGGTCCTCGAATTCCTCACCGGTTCCAATAAAACACATGCGCATCTTCTCGGACGTTACGATATTGACGAGCAATATGTATCTGCTTGCACTACTCAGTTATATAAATTGGAGATCGGACACTACTCTGTGAAGCAGAATTTTTTTTCGGTTTAAAAGCTATCGCTGAGCAAGCCAGCCTTTAGAGTTTTCCGTCCGGCAAGTAGCATATTTAGTCTTATGTGTCATCCGGACTCTTCCGATCTTTCTTCTCAGGCTGGCAAAGATGGAACTTAGGTAGATCTGCCAATGATTTTCGTTGTTTGTGACCGCACAACCGTGGCAGAGAGCTTGGGCGAGTTTCTTATAATTATTCATCGATACGGGGGAATTTCACAGGCATGTAGCGCTGCTTAGGCTTGACTGGAATAGTTCAATTTCCCCGAGCGTAATGACTAACCCTTCTTTGGTCCGTTAATTCATTCTAGTTGTAAGTTATTGCCGGTGCATGTCAGACTGTTGGGACGGCAGTTAGACTGCTTTCAAGTGACCTTCGAAAGTGGAAGTTGTTGGCAGTCTTGCCAGCGAATGGCTTTGGCGTTGGCAATTCGCTGTTGCGTGAGGTGCTTCGTATACCTCCGCCGCTGAGGAAGAATGAAACACAAGGGGTTTTGAATCTACAATTTTTTCTTCTGCTGCATTGCAGGTGGCAGTATTGTTGGATTGTTTTTTGCTGCATGCTGACTGGCACACCTGTAGCTTCTTCAAGAACATCACCAAAAGCGACAATCGTTTCAGTCATCACCGTTAGTTTTCTCATTTTACCTGCTTCTTTTAAACGAACAATAGACAGTGTGCGGCATTATTTTGTGGTTTTGTATGATTAGCGGTCGTCTTATCGTAAGATTCCTTCGAGAGCCATCAATATAGCTGTGTCTTACAGAAATTATTGTGATCGAAACTTCTCCGACTTTTGGTTGGCATGGCGTCCCTTATCCCTTTCTTTTTTTTTTTTTTTGTTCTTTTCTCAAAAAGCCAAATGTGTTGCATTATCTGTGTTGTTTCTTTGACTGTTCAACTTTAGGATATAATTTTTATTGAAGTTATATGCTTGCCAAGGTTTCAGCCAAAGATACGTATATATCAGCTGGAAAAAACAGCTATTCTTTGATTCGGGTTCTCGTCAACGCCTTAATTGTGAACAGCATTGGCTCGAGAAGTGCA